TATCTAAATATTGGATTTACTGTAAAAAGTTAGGCACTCTGATTACCATTGCGTTTTATCGTAAGTTTTAAGGAGTTATTAGAGATTTGTTTAGCTTTAACCGTAACATTATTTTCTATTCAAATTTTTTTTTTTTTACTCAACAATGTCGTTATTCTATTTAGTCTGACGACTAAAAAGTGGTCAACAGACATACTGCTTTGTGTTAATAATGAATATCAGTACCATGAGATGAAATATACTTAAGATGAAAATAAAATAATATATTGTATTTCTCAAATTTTTTACTCGACAATGTGGTTATCCGACAATGTTAAGTCTGACGACTAAAAAGTGGGCATCAGGCATTAACTTCTATGTATAAATGAATATCAATACCAAGAGATGGAAATAACTTACTATATTTTTCGAATAATTTACTCGACATGTTATGTCTGACGACGAAAAAGTTGTCAACAGACATTTACTGCTTTGTGTAAAGTATGAGTATCAGTACCTTGAAATGAAATGTACTTGAGATGAAAATAATATATTATACTTCTAAATTTTTTTTTTATATGACAATGTCATTATTCGACACTCTTAAGTCAGACAACTAAAAAGTGATCAACAGACATTGACTATTTTTTGTAAATTATAATGAATATCAGTCCCATGAGATTGAAATATACTCGATTTAGAATTTATGTCTACAGTTTGTCGACCTCACGCCACCTTCAGACTTTCGAAGAAGGAAATCCTCTTGATTGAGGTAAAAAGAAAGAAGAAAAAAGAGGTAAATAGATGACATTTTGTACACTTTCATTCAATAGAAGAAACCGTAATTTATTTCAATCTCACACCAGGAAATTACTATGCACTTTCCCTGTCTTTGCTTTCTCATTCTTTTAATGACTTTTCATTCCTATATTATCACTTTTTTCTTTTTCCTTGATTGATTTAACTGACTTATTAACTGAGAGGAGCAACAATTTTGGTTGAGGTTGCATTTTTTCCTCTGAAAAGCGTTGACTCACTGTTGATAGTTTTCATACTAGAAATGGATCATCATAACATTTCATAAGAGGACGCCATACTGAAGAAAATTTTCGTCACATATTATCTTTCTCCTGCATTATTAATTTAAAATTTAAAGAGTAGAAAAAGTGAGTTCAGAGAAGCCTAGAGTAAGCCACGGAGTTTCTAATAAGGAAAAGAAAATTTTAAAATATACACATGAAAATAAATTAAGAGACGATAATTTAGGATTACGCAACGACGAAATTCTCTTCTAATACAGGGAGCGTAGCCAAATTATTCAACAAAAAATAAGCACCTTTTAAGCACTCAAAATATATTTTTAAGCACTTTAAAAAAATATCATAATTGGACACGGTTTTATCTTGTTTCAACCATCATGTCAACAAAAAAAAAAAAAAAAAAAAAAAAAAAAAAAAAAAAAAAAATTGACATTGTTTTTGACAATTATTAAAAATCATGAAGTTTTGAGTCATATAAAACGAATGGCGTTTTCATACGCTACGGACTGACAATAAGCCGAAATAGATTGGGGTTGAATTAATTGGGAAAACGTTGAATAGAAAAACGTGAACTGTGTCTTTTTGTATAGTTCGCAGCTAAAATCAACATAGTAAAGGAAAAATCTCATTTTGAAAAATGGAAAATTAAGCACTTTTTAAAAACACCCAATGAGAAAAGCACCTTTAAGGGCTTTTAAAAAACCAAAAATGAAAATAAGCACCTTTAAGCACTTTTTAAAAACGTTAAGTTTTTCTACTTAATAAACTACTTATAAAATATAGTATTAATAGACAGCACAAAACCTTTCAGAAACGATTGAAAATAACGGGGTCGCTTTATTAGATGTGGAGAAGTAACCCTTGATAATTTTTAGAACTTCTATGCATTTTCCCGCCAAAATTTTAAAGCAATAGAATGATGCGATTTGTGATGCTTTTGACTGAGTAATTTAAAACTACACGTTTCTCAGTTTTTAGATTTTCTTTCAAAAAAAAAAAATCTTATTGCAGTTTAAATTGATAAAAGCGATTTCTCTTAACGTTAATTTCATAAAAATAAAGACACTTATCAAAAATCTAATAACCTGTTTACTATTTAAATATCTTTCAGAAACTGCTAATAGTAGAATTGTAATGGCATTATTTTGTAAGAAAAAATTAATAGAGGACCTAAAATTAGTAATTCTGATTGGGTGACGGACTTATATTTTACATGTATCGAATGATACTGCCAGATAAAGTAAAAATCCATCATCAGTTTATTTGTGAAAATCAAATGAAAATGATTAAAAGCATATTTAGAACTTTCCCTACCGTCTTCACCCCTTCGACAGTTGAGTGTGGTCGAGAGAGGAAGGGCCAGATGTTACAGGTGAAGAACAATAATTTATGAACTATTATCAATTTCAAAGCAGTGACTTGCAGAGAGGGAAGGTACCAAGATGCATCAGGCATCCACCTTAATTCAACGACTACTGACACTAAAACTTTAAATCTACTACTATTGTTGTTGCCTTCGGCCATTAAGGCAGAGGAGGAGCGATTGTTCTTGTTTTCTAGTGGCGCCATCTATGGCCAAGAATTCGACTTCTGCCACACCCATTCGTCACACCTGTTTATAGGGCGGACCCATTCATTCATACATCTACAGATTGTAATTTTCACCTAAACCAGAAAACGATCAATCTCCAATTCAGTACCCCCAGAGGTATTGATTTGTTATGGGAACATGGAGGACTCTGCGACCAGACATATTTAACGTGCACCAGTTACCATTTACTAAACTGGGAGTCTTCGACCGGTTGAATTCGAATCCCCGTTCTCACAAACATGAGTCCAGCGTCCTGCCAACTATTTTCTTTACATTTTAAGGCTGTTTTTCAAAGGCTTCGTAAACCGCATGAAATTATGTGTTTTTCTTTCGAATAATATGCTATTTTCATAACTGATATGAGTTTGCAACAGTTACTCATGACCGTTAGGGCAAGTTTAGCCTATCTTTAGCCACCCCCTCTATGTTTAATCTAGAAATGGGGCAAAAAAGTCAATATGGAGAAAAGCCACAGTTTTGAGAAAATGAAAAGAGTTTGTGGTCTAATTTTTTAACATTTAGCAGCTTATTCCAATACTGAATTATCTAGGCCCTTAAAAATTTGCAAAAAATTGAAATAAGGCATTGATTTTGGATAATTTTCCTCTAGGTGTAAAAATGTCGCCAAATTGGCGACTTTAAAAAAAAATTAATAGCTTTTAACATATTTTAGTTATTTTTCTGTTTTAAAGCCCAGATAATTCTTCACAGCAAGATGGCATATACTGTTTAAAATTATAGCTTTTTTTTATTTTCCTTGGCGAAAGAGCTTCGAAAAATCTTGTTTAATTACTTATGTCGGTGTGCGAACCTTACAATTGAAATATTAATTTTCGACAACTTAAACCAATAATATACGAAGGAATTAATAATTTAATTGTAAGGTTCGCATTAGTTTACATTTATCAAAGATGAGAAAAGTTTAACTTTTGTATTAAAAATGTGGCAACATATTCGATACGTAAATCGAACGCTTCGCTTTGATATATTTGTCGCTGTTCATAATTGTTATAATAAGTTTTTCTTCTTCTTTCCACGCTCTATTTTTTTCTTAAGCGAAGACGATAATTTTTGTAGCGATATAGAAATAGAAATTGATACCATAAAAAAATATATAGAAATAGAAATTGATACCATAAAAAATTAATTCGTTTTCGTGTTCTTTTCATGTATTTAGCATTTTAGTTTTTTTTTCTTCTTAAGCGTTGTAGTTATATAATATATAAAATAGGAATTTAAGACAAAATTGCAGGACAGGAACACTTTAATTGTCCACTAATCTTCAGATTTCCTGCGATGCCTTTAGCGTGGCGGACAGCTGGCCGCCTTAGGCGGCTAGTACGAAATGAAGATGCGCTCCCGGACATAATTTTCGTTTATTTGATTTAATAAATGAAAATTCGCTTTTAGTTAAAGAGACAATCGAAGAACAAAGTTAATATTACATGTCATATTCTCTGATATCAAATATATAATACAGTCGAAACTCGATGACATAAATATTTCTATAACACAAAAAAAAGAAAAGAAAAAAAAAAAAACACAAAAAAATTTAATTTCCTGTACATTTGCTATGTTCCTAATAGAATTGAAGAAACAAAAAAAAATATATATATATTTTAGCCAATTACATGTGACACAACGAACACAAAATATTTTTGATCACCAAATTTTTTTTTTCTTGATTTTCGAAGAATTCAAAATGTTTCCCCTAGAATTCCAAAGTTTTAATATTGCCTTCTTTGAATGAAATTACCTGAACCACAACAACGCTAGAAAAGAAGCCATACAAAATATGTGAACAAAGACAGGAATATCCGCTCATGAAATACGAATGAGCTTTCTAATTTAATTTTTCAATGCATGGTGATTGGAAAGAATTGTACAGTAGAACGCCGATCTTTCGTTTCTCAGGAGACCATTCATTGATTTCACCGTTGATTAGACCATTCACATTTGGGTAAACGACGCACGGGTCAAGAAAAAATATCAAATAATGCCTTGACAAATTATAAAAAAATATTATAAATAAATAATGGATTTAATAAATTTACAATATATATAAAATTTAAATTAGAAAATATTTTATGTGTTTTAGTGAATAATTTAAATATAATAAAATTACAAAAATTAATAAATACGTAAAACACAGCTGTCTCAAAAAAATATATAAAATAAAGATTTATACATAAAAAGAAGTAAAAAAAATATTTTTATTAAATATTACAATCTCATAGCAATGAAAAAACTATTAATTATTTTGGAGAATTTTCCGTGAAGCTTCCTTAATTATTTTTTCATGATTGCTGCTTAATCAATCATTGTTTTTCAGTTGTTCATTCACTATCATATCGTGTCTAATGCTAGAGTGTGAAAAATAACAGAAAAACTAGATTCCTTCGTTTTTATTCCTTTTTCAGAAGAGGTTGTCAGTTCACATCTTCCTACTTTCTTATTGACATACTGACCTCGAAGCGAAAATTTTCCTTTTCTTTTTCATGATCAGGATCTGCGATAAAAAAAGAAATAAAAAAAAAAACATTAGGTACGCATGCACGACAGAAATAGAACTTCTGATTTAACTGATAAGTTTAACAATTATGTTTTTGTTCAGATAATTACGACAGTGATGCATCATTCTCAAAGCATAATGTACCCTTATTAAAAAGAATGTTTCATTAATTATTTTAAGTTATTGTTGAATGATATTAATTTTGGGGAAAAAACATTTGCTTTAACCATTATCTCTTGAAACAATGCGATAGCTGTCGATTAAAAAAAATCGTTTGGTTTTATTGCTGCTTTGTTTATTTATTTTAAATATCACTTTTGAAGAAAATTCAAAACTTCTGTCTTTAACTTTTATACTTGAAACTTTTGATTTGATTTAAAGATTTGCTTTCATATATAATTATTGATTGTACCCTTGGCCAAAGAATACGTGATACCAAAGAGTACGCCAAGATTGTACCAAACTTAGTGGAATAAAAAATGGCTGTCTTCAAAAACAACCAATGTCAATGATGAAAAGTTACCGTTTTCATCTGTAGGAATGACATCATTTGTCAATAGTTTTTAAATAAATTAAATACTCAGGTATTAGATAAGAATAATTTTTCTCTATAACATGGTTATTTTTAATCGGCAATTTGTCTTTTCGGCTGGGGAATAGAATCTTAATTTCGTCTGCAATAGTGATGTCATTTGTCAATCGTTTTCGGAGATAATCTCGTCACCAGAAGATAATCGCCGATATTTCTTTGATTTGTAAACATACTAATGCTTCGTAATCTCTTTTCAAGGTCCGAGTGATTGAACTTTTTCTCATTAAACAGTTAATTTAGAAAAATAAGTATATAAATAAAAGCTAATCTTAACAGCAAATCTTAGAAGCTTTAAAGAATAAAGAATAGCTGCTTTTAAGAATAAACCTAAGGCTTATAAAAAAGCACTTTTAAAAATTCGCTCATTTGTCTTTTTAAAGAGATAATCTTTTAAACGGAGACAGTAATATCTTGGAAAAAATTACTAATTCACTTTCATTTCTTAATTTAAATAAAAAACAACGTTTTAAGTGCTAGCGTACCTGAATTTAATTGTAGACCATTAAAATATTACGTGCATATTTTGATGACTTTGGGTCACTTATAAAGTATGCAAATCGCCTCTTTCCTCCGTTTTGATACTTATTGAAGGGCCCTGAATATTCTTAGACAAATATATTTATTTTTTAAAATTTTACATTGGTTTTCATTAAGTAAACTAGGTGTCAGGTCCATTTTAAATTGGGTAAATTTCAAGCATCTCGAAATTTTAAAAACTTATAGTAAAAAATTAAGGCAGTATATAAGAATGGTCCAGACCTGAACTTCAGTTTAGTGCCCCTTTATATACATATACAGTATATTTTATATATTGTATATACTTAGTACGCTGTTTTTCTTTTTCAAAGTTAAAAACTTTCATTAAAAAAAAAACTCTAAATTGTTAGCAAAAAATCTGCATAAACTTTTTAAAAATTGCTTGTTTTTTTTTTCAATTCTGAGTTTCTAAATTATAAATTTAGTACAAAATACAAATGGAATAGTTTGAAGAAAAAAATATAGATGAACTGAATACTAATTCTATTATTCATATAAATATGCTATAAACATGGAAATTGAAAGATTTTGGTTTAATAAATGATTTACTAAAAAGTTATAATTGTAAAAAAATTATCATAAGTCAATATCAATATTTTATAACCGGGTTCGAACAGTCGACCCAATTCTGAGTGTACAACAACCAATAATCAACTCCATTTCCTTGTAATTTTGAACCTAATCCATTATAAGTATAATAAATATTAATTAATAATAAATATAATAATAATTAAGATCCCTGGATCAAGCATCGGGACTAACTAGTCTGCGTGGAGGACTTTTTTGATGAAACTAACCAGCGATTGTGTTACGTGAAAGGAAAACCACGAAAACCTCTCACGGTTACCCAGACGGCAAGGAGATTCGAATCCATTATCCGTCTGCCATTGAAGATATTTTACGTCAGCAGAGTGATCCGGGTGCAGAATACGTATCAACCAGCCACCTTTGGGATTCGAACCTGAAGTACCCCATAGGAAGGCTTAGATTTAGAAAATTTTTTTGAATGGAAAAAGTGATTTTAATTAAATGTGAAGTCCTTCTATTTTTTTTTTCTTTTTGTATGACATGAAATATGGCGTTAATCAGTAATGCATTTAGTTGCCTTTCTTCATTTTGCTCATAAAATGGAAAGAATAAATTTAGTGAAGTTTTGATACTTTTTTGTTAACCAACAATGATTTTTGAACCACAGATATTTAACAGATACAAGTTTTAATTGTGATGAGTATTCAATAGATAATTTACGTACAATTAATGTATAAAATCGCCGTTAGCGACCGTTGCGAATTCTCAAGCGATAATAAAATAGCATATTATTCTTTAAAGAAAAAACGTTATTTTATGTGGCGTTATTTTGTTTGCCTAGAAAATCAGCCTTAAATTTATTTCAAAATATTTGCGTACATACGTTAAAAAAAAATATGTTTCTTTCAGACGTTGGTGTGTAAAATATTAACTATTTTTCCCTGAACACACTGTCCTACATGTGTTTATCTTCACATGCTTTGATAAAACGAAAACGTGATGCATTCCAAAGATGCAAATTTAGTGTTTGTCGTAAACCATTCAAAATAAGTCCTTCAAAAAGGAAAAAAAGTCCCAGATTTCAATTAAAGTAACGTTTCTCGTTGTATTCAATTATTTGAATAACATTTCCAACACTTCCGCTGTTTGCCTCACTCATGTTTAGGATATAAATCTAGCAGATTTATAAAAAAAGTTTCTTTTTGACGTAAGCAAGGATCTGTAAATAAATCTGACTAATGACGAATTTCATAAATCTCACTAAGTGCTTACGTTCCAAGGCGAAATTATTAGCGCAGTATCATTTGTTCCTAAAAGGCATGTCGGGAATTGATGATAAAAGCAGCAAATTTCTCATTGTATGTAAATTAATAGAATGTTTTGCTGACTTGTTTCCGGTTTGATAGGAAAATGTGCTTAGTTAGGTATTGTATCGGCATGTTGTAATTCTAGAGCGTTAGTGTGATCAGGAAAAAGAACTGCGTTTTAATTTTGCCACCCCGCTTTGCATTTGTGAATAATAATTCTGTAACTAATTAGTTTGTGAAATAAATTTTTTGTATAATCTGAGCTTTGAAACGAAAAAAAAGAAATAAAAAAAATCTAAAATATCCGAAAAATTATTTAACTTTCCATTTATATTGTAAAATTTTATACTTTACAATATAAATGGAATACTTTACAATATACTGTAAATTTTATTCTTATACTAATATTTATATAATTACAGTGGATTTATAGTAAATATTACTGTACAAGAATTGCGATTTGTTAGATTTTCTGATTCCGAAAAGTTTTACTCTAAAAATGAATATATCGTTATATTTTTATTAAATATATTGTTACCCTAGTAACAATTTCATCTTGGCCCCAGTTTTGCTCAAAGTTGGCTCGATATCGATCCTATACGAATATACACCGACGGACCAATAGTGGAATGACTAGACTTTGTTGTTGTTGTTATTTACTAGAGCTGCACAATGGGCTATTGGCGACGGTCTGGGAAGCATCCCTGAGGATGATCCGAAGACATGCCATCACAATTTTGATTTGGGGGCAGAGGGGATGGCACCCCCGCTTCGGTAGCCCGACGACCTGCACGCGAAGTCGAGCACTTTACGGTAGAACAGTTTAACGAGGACCCATACCACACACCCTCGGTCCCTACTCAGACTGATCCAAGTGGTCACCCACCCGCACACTGACCGTAGCCAGTGATGCTTGACTTCGGTGATCTACTGGGAACCGTGTCTTAACGATCAGTCCACTGCGGGACGACTAGATTTTTTAATATTAGTCCTATATAGGACCAATATCGGCCTATATATAACCAATAATGTTGGCCAAATAATGATTATAAAATATCGGATGAATCTGACAACTCTATGAAGAGCCGATATGGGTTGTAAAGTGGCTGTAAAATACCGGATGAATAGGACAATTCTATGTAGGACCAATATCGGAAAAAATAACTGCTTTTTACACTTTTGTTGAGCCAAGATTCGTGAATATTGGTCCAATTATGGTTCAAGTTATTTTGCTCCTAGGGTAGCTTTATTATCTAGGTATCTGAATAATTTTTGTGAATAGCATTTGTAGAATAATATTATGTAAATAATGTTATTGCAATACGGTCATTTCATAAGAGATTTTTTTTAACGAAGAAATTAATTAATTTACGATACTAAGTAGAGTAAAAGCTTGCAATTAAAAATATTTTTTAATGAACAGATGATTATTAGATTTCTAGTTATTTCTATTTCAAATTCTTATTTTTAGCCAAAGAGGCAACAAAAAAATCGAAATACTTTCGGTTTTCTAGTCCAATTAAGCATAGATGTTAAAATTATTAATTTTTGTTATTATCAATATTCTCTTACGTTGATTTGTTTCAAATTTCAACCGTAATTTTCTGAGCTATATCCAGAAACAAAATGTAGCTATGAAATTTTTTTTTATTTCATGTTTTTTAAATTAGTAGTAAATGAACATTTGGGCTGTGATTTGTTTCTTGCATTCTCCTGTCAAGCCCTTTATTTAATATCCGTGGAAATGGTGATCAAAGCTGTGAATATCATTTATTTTCATCATAATGAATGGCTCGACAGCCCAGGGTGGGCCTTGGCCTGCTCAAGAAGTTTTTCCAGGCTAACCTTTTTCCTGCTAGCGTTTTTGAAAACTCTGACATTTTAAATCTTAAAAAAACTCTTATGATTAAATTACTAATATCTTCTTTTCTTTTTTGGGGGGAGAGGGATATTTTTAAATTTTTTTTTCTTTGGTAGGAGATAACATACAATGACAATCCAGACCCATTTTCCAACCAATGTTAGTTTTGCCT